CAGACACATCATTTGGTGTTGCAGTTTTGCTTACAGTTGCATCTTATAATGGTAAGAAGTTTATCAGGTGCAGGAGGTAGTTCCATCAAAATTGGACTAAGTTTTCCACGTTAAATTTCCCAACCATAGTCTGTAGGATCTATGTCAACTTCTTCTTACATCCATTTCTGGCACTGATAATACACTCGAAGACTATGAAATTGCCCTGAATCGGATGTTGGTAGTTAACTTTTCACCTGAACCGATGTGTTTCCAGTAATAACGATGTTAAGTCCTTCAAGAGGAAGTCCTCCATATAAAATTGTGAGCGTTTCTTCTCCTGCTTTGATGATATCTGCTTTAATGAAACGTTATTCATAAAAATTGAACTTGCATTTTCAGATATTCTTGGTTAAGTTTTTTTAATGCAAGTCTTTTGCCTATTCCAAAAAGCCTAGACCACAACCTGTTATAGAATTCAAAAAGAGCAACAAATTACAAACATCCTCCACAAGAAATCCTTTAGTCTGTTGTATGTTCCATATTTTCATTTTTTGTTGATTTCCATTTTTTCAGATTAAAAAATATTCTGTTTGCACTGCTGATTAACATGATGAATAAGTAATACTAATAGATTCGTATCTTCACCATTTACTACGACTTCTAAAGACAAAGCACAATCCACAGCTGTTTACACAATAAGAAGATCTGCATCATCAGTCGCATTCTTAAATCTAATGTCATTATCCTTAAGCTTGTCACAAAGCATGTTAATAAGAGCTTATTTGTTATGACTGTTTGACATGAAAAGTTCCTTTTTAGTTTTGCAAGGCATAGAAGAGGTGAAATTGATGTTCGGCGAAATGATGCCTTTTGTTCTACGCAAATGTGTTATATCTTTAATTGAAGGAAGTTCTTGATAACTGTCAAAAACAATAACAGGGTGTTTGTACTTTCTGATTACATGATCAACATACATTTGTGTAATGCCTCCAAATGATATACCATGTGTCCAAGGAAGTCGTTGTAATAGTCATCCACCATTAAGGACATACTGAAAACCCTCACCATCGATTTCATGTATGCAATCACTTCCAAATACCCATATCGCATCAGCTAAGTTTGACTTGCATGCCTCTCGAGGTAGTAGGTTGCAATCAAACATAGAGGAAGGAACGCTGGACAATTCATACTGGAATACCTTGGATGTGTTTTCAAAGAGACCATTTGCTGCTGTGGTCAGGCGTTGGAACATCAATTGAGGACTCATATCCGTTTTGAGAAAGTCTGAGCTGACTTAGGTTTTGCTGCCGATGTTGTTGATTGGTTTGACTTCTTGAAGCTTTAACTCAAATTTTTGTCGTTTTTCATCAATTCTAACGTTTTATTTCCAAAACTTTTTGCTTTTTCAACGTTAACATTAGGCTCTGCCTCAACACCTGTTTTAATATATCTAAGTGAAACATCATTAGTAAAGTGATTTCTTTCACTAAGGTACTCAAGAATTGCAAGAGTGTCTACCCTGTCTCGTTCTTTCCTTGCACGGTTAGCTTCTTTGTGCTGATCACTAGTACAGTATGCAACACCAGTGAGATCTTGCATGACACTGTTGTAGTCTGCACAAGCTGGCATATATAGTATCCACTGTCCTCGTTGGGATTCACCCATTCCTCCGCCCCTGGTTAGACCTCCAGAAGATTTCACACTTCTCTTCAAGATCTGTTCTCTAGTCAGATCTGTAGAAAAACCACTCCAAAAACGGTCTGTCCTCCTAAGTACTAGTACGTAGTATTGATGAAGGAAAATATCTATTATCAATAACTAAAAAGGAACTTTTCATGTCAAACAGTCATAACAAACAATCTCTTATTAACATGCTTTGTGACAAGCTTAAGGATATTGACATTAGATGTAAGAATGCGACTGATGATGCAGATCTTCTTATTGCGTAAACAGATTTGGATTGTGCTTCGTAGTAAATGGTGAAGATACTGATCTATTAGTGTTACTTATTCATCATGTTAATCAGCAGTGCAAAAGGGTTATTTTTAAATCTGATAAAAATAGCAATCAACAAAAAAATGAACACATGGAACATACAACAGACTAAAGGATTTCTTGGGGAAGATGTTTGTAATTTGTTGCTCTTGTTGAATTCTTTTACAGGTTGTGACTCATCATCTAGGCTTTTTGGAATAGGCAAAGGACTTGCATTAATAAAACTTAACCAAAAATATCAAGATCAAGTTTTCATGAATAAGGCTTCATTAAAGCAGATATCATCAAAGCAGGAGAAGAAGCACATACGCGTTATATGGAGGACTTCCTCTTGAAGGACTTAACATTCTTCGCTGGAGAAAATTCACATCCATAGTAATTACTGGAAACACATTGGTTCAGGTGAAAAGATTACCACCAACATCTGATTCGGGGCAATTTCATAGTCTTCGAGTGTATTATCAGAAGAAGTTGACATAGATCCTACAGACTATGGTTGGGAAATCAAACGTGGAAAACTTTGTCCAATTTGGATGGAACTTCCTCCTACACCTGATAAACTTCTAAACAATATCAGATGCAATTGTAAGCAAAACTGTGACACCAAACGATGTGTCTGTAGAAAAAATGGTCTTCAGTGTTCGGTAGGATGAGGTGAATGTCGTGGTTTGAATTGTTCTAATTCTGTTCCTGTTGCTGAATCTGACTTTACTGATGAATAGATATTTGTTGTATACAGAAAACTATGGAATAATCTATAAAAAAAATGTTTCCATGTATTTTGTCATTTACTTTTTAATCATCATCCGTGTTGGTCAATTAGACTTTTTACCTCTCATTATGCATGGTCAACACATCTTGGATTCTCGCTTAAAATCTCTTGTTGGTTAAAATTGTATGAATTTAAGCATTGCACTTTTTCATATAAAGAAGATATTGATTTTCACTAACATCTTAATTGAATTATGAAAATCTATGAATTTTATTAGTTTTTTCCAGTTTTTGAAGATTTTTTGCCAAATTTAGCTTTTTTCACCCAAAATCAGCTATAATCATAACTGTTTTACAATGAATTTTGTTTGATCTGATTACAATTATATTAAGATTTCCATTTTTCATTTTTTGGAGTGATTTAAAAACAGTTAAAACTCCAAATTGGTGTTTTTCCAGTTTTTAACGATTTTTGGATGATTTTGCTATATTTTACCCAAAATCATTATTTACCCAAAAAGGAATTGCTGTATAGTTTTGGAATGATTAAAACTAAGGTTTTTGTCTTTTTTTGAAAAATCAAATGAACTTCTATTACCATTTTTTATATTTTCCCTGTCTGTTTTGGTAATCAATTCGTGCTTTGTGAATCTCAAATTCCAACAAAAATCTGATGTTTTCACCTAAAATATCATGTTTATAAAAAAGAAAACATTTTTTTTATTATTTCATTTCTAAACACTGTATAAACTGTTTTAAAACTTTTGGTTTGAAATGATTATCTTCCAAAATGAATGTTTAACAAGCTTTTCCCAGTTTTTCACTATTTTTGACATATTTTGCTATTTTTCACCCAAAAAATCCATGTTCCCACTCAGATATCTTGGTAGACTTTTAGTATGTTACAAAGAAAGCGTTTAAGAATTGAAAAATACAGAAAAAAATTCTGTTGCAATTATTATGAGGTCAAATGCTATTTTGACTAGACTATTATGCAGTAATGGTATGTCGGTATGTATTTCCTAAATTTGTTGTATTTTTCCTATATTTCTATAAATTTTACAATATAATAATGAGTGCTGAAAAAGATGTTTGCATATTGAATTTGTTCCAAGTATAAACTCAAATACTTTTACAAGGCTTTTAAATTTGGAAGTCAAAATTCCACATATCTGGAAAAGCAAATCCTCAAATGTTCAAAATGGAAATAAGCTTACTTTTACCAATTGATACTATAAACAACAAATGTAGTTCGAAGTAAATTCAATTGATCCAAGCATATCTAAGTTAGAAAACAACGCATGAAAATTTACTCAAATCTAACGGTTAAATTACCATAACATTGGAGTGACAAAGTGGAAAACTGTCAAGTTTGAAAGGTAGCTTATTTTATCACTTGCAACATAATTTTCAAGTAAATTGATCTGACTTTTCCCCAGTTAGTGTGCATCATGTGCAAAGTTGACTTAAATCTGATGATTTTTGTCCTGTAACTCTGGAAAGATAAATGAACTTTTTTTTTAAAAGATGGTGTCAAATATTCCAGTTTAAACCATGCAACATACCTACATGCACAAAACAAAACAAAAAAATTTCAAACAACACATCAGAACATTAAATGGTCTTAATGTAACAAAATTGAGTTTTCCAAAGAGAATAAAAAGAAAATAAACATAACACGTTGTAGTGCATGAGCTACTGCTTACTATAATGTATACACCACTCTTGCTTTTGATTGAAAGGAAATACCTTTACATCTACCAAAATGTCTCAGCAGAAAACAGAAAGAAGACAAGAACACAGGGTTTAGCTTACAAGTTTGTACTCAATATGAGGAGGCTATAATTTGTAGGTGCTGATAAGAATGCAATAAGAATTTCTTGACAAACAGAGAGTAGATTAGTAAAAGATCTAATAATGTGTCAGACAGTATAGCTTACACATATGAACATTGCTACAAGATATCGACAAGCTCTTAATTTTTTAATTTGCTGTCAAAGAAAATGCTATGTGGAGAGTTGTCTCATTGGCAATCATACTACATCTTCTTATTTTTAAATTTGTTATGGATGGACAGAGATGATGACAGGAAGAGGGGTATAATAATCCAATTCATATGCCGATGATTCTAGATTCTATGGTTAAACTGCCAAACAATCTAAATTTATTGTTAATTCTACAACAATTTAAATTTGAGGATTCTTTCCATTCAAACACAATGTACCATATGAAAACAGCCCAAACTACTTCTACACGCTTAGGTGAACTACCTTTAAATCCATTGTGGAAAAGAATAAAAGATTAGAACTCAGTATACTTCCATATTATTTTTTATTTCATTAAAAGTCCATTCTCCGTGACAAAATGTTACATCTTTAACATCAAATAGCACTATCTTCTTCAAGTATGTCTTAAAACAAATATTTAGTCAGACTCTTCACTTTCAATCAGGTCTTTTATACGACTGAATTTGACAGGAGATACATGTGGAGCAACAGGCTGTGGTTTTCTGTTGTATTTACTCCTGGCATTACGCTGACCTATCACTAAAAAGAATTAAAAAAAAACAAAAACATAAATCTAAAGTTACACATATAATAGTAATAGCTTAAAATCATAATAAAAAACTAAAATCAGCTCCTCAAACATTTTTTCATTTCTAGAAGAAGCTGTGCAAGTTTGATTAAAATCTTTCAAGCCTTGAGTAACACAGACACTAAGACAATATGAAAGAAGTGATTCCTTTACCTTGCTTCAGCTTTGTTGTCAGGAAACACAAAGATGTGTGAACCAAGATGGCATTTTTATAGGTATAATTTTAAATATTAACAATTTGCAATATTACCAGCCCCATTGTACATAAAGATAACATTCAATAATATAAAGTCAAAATTAATGAATAATAAGATAAAATATCGTTCACTGTCCTTGTTATAGTTCATGTGTGATGCACCTCAAAAAAGGACTTGGATTTGTATGTTTCTTTATAATAAGATCATATATTGACTCGATATGAGGAAAAGAAGATGTAGGGTATACATCAATGTGACAGTAACCCAACATCACATAAAGACATCTAGAGGTCAACTGTCTACAAAAAAACGGTGTCTATACAATATGTCAAGGTCTAAATCATATAATGTCTAACAATTGTGAATAAATTAAACAAGTCAAACAGAAACCATCAAAGATCTGTTATCAACATTAAATTCTTCAAATAAGAAAACATTAAGGTAAGATACAAAGACAAGAAAACATTAAGGTAAGCCACAAAGACAAGAAAACATTAAGGTAAGACACAAAGACAAGAAAACATTAAGGTAAGCCACAAGACAAGAAAACATCAAGGTAAGCCACAAAGACAAGAAAACATTAAGGTAAGACAAAAAGACAAGAAAACATTAAGGTAAGCCACAAGACAAGAAAACATTAAGGTAAGACACAAAGGCAAGAAAACATTATGGTAAGCCACAAAGACAAGAAAACATTAAGGTAAGGCACAAGACAAGAAAACATTAAGGTAAGCCACAAAGACAAGAAAACATTATGGTAAGACACAGACACAAGAAAACATTAAGGTAAGGCTGAAGACAAGATCACATTAAGGTAAGCCACGAAGACAAGAAAACATTAAGGTAAGCCACAAGACAAGAAAACATTAAGGTCAGCCACAAAGACAAGAAACATTCAGGTAAGACGCAAAGACAAGAAAACATAAAGGTAAGACACAAAGACAAAAAAACATAAAGGTAAGGCACAAGACAAGAAAACATTAAGGTAAGCCACAAAGGCAAGAAAACATTAAGGTAAGACACAAAGACAAGAAAATATTATGGTAAGGCACAAGACAAGAAAACATTAAGGTAAGCCACAAAGACAAGAAAACATTAAGGTAAGACACAAAGATAGGAAAACATTAAGGTAAGGCACAAGACAAGAAAAACATTAAGGAAAGCCACAAAGACAAGAAAACATTAAGGTAAGACACAAAGACAAGAAAACATTAAAGTAAGGCTGAAGACATTAAGGTAAGCCACAAAGACAAGAAAAGATTAAGGTAAGACACAAGACAAGAAAATATTAAGGTAAGACACAAAGACAAGAAAAGATTAAGGTAAGACACAAAGACAAGAAAACATAAAGGTAAGCCACAAGACAAGAAAACATTAAGGTAAGCCACAAAGGCAAGAAAACATTAAGGTAAGACACAAAGACAAGAAAATATTAAGGTAAGGCACAAGACAAGAAAACATTAAGGTAAGCCACAAAGACAAGAATACATTAAGGTAAGACACAAAGACAAGAAAACATTAAGGTAAGGCACAAGACAAGAAAACATTAAGGAAAGCCACAAAGACAAGAAAACATTAAGGTAAGACACAAAGACAAGAAAACATAAGACAAGAAAACATTAAGGTAAGCCACAAAGGCAAGAAAACATTAAGGTAAGATACAAAGACAAGAAAACATTAAGGTAAGGCACAAGACAAGAAAACATTAAGGTTAGACACAAGACAAGAAAACATTAAGGTAAGGCACAAAACAAGAAAACATTGAGGTAAGACACAAGACAAGAAAACATTAAGGTATTAAGGTAAGGCACAAGACAAGAAAACATTAAGGTAAGCCACATAGACAAGAAAACATTAAGGTGAGACACAAGACAAGAAAACATTAAGGTATTAAGGTAAGGCACAAGACAAGAAAACATTAAGGTAAGACACAAGACAAGAAAACATTAAGGTAAGCCACAAAGACAAGAAAACATTAAGGTAAGGCACAAGGCATGAAAACATTAAGGTACCGTAATCCGGCTTGTATAGTTCGCACTGGTACATAGTCCGCACCCCCTTCTCCCCACGAAATTTCAGGTAAATAAACATTTTGTAACTGTTAGAAAAGGTCTAATGAAACTCCGGTAATTTTAAATCGTGTGTGGTCGTTTGCGGTATTTTCTTGGAAAAACCTATTTTCCATCACCAAACAGAAGCTGAAACTGCTTGTAAATGGTTCTAAAACACTTCACGCTGGTTAAAATAAGTCTAAATCACACAAAAAACAATTTAGAAACTTGTGTATGTTTAAACTGGAAGTTTGAAAAGCACGTGTAAAAGATGAAAAAACCCTGTGAGAGTCCAAATCTGTACACAATAGATATCACTATAATACGACTTTGAAAGTAAAACAGTTCCCTCCTTATGTAAAACAGTGTTTTAATATATCTATCACATTAATGTTTGAAGGGTCTTAAGCTAATACAAAACATATTTGTCTATAGGAAACACCAAAACGGAACCAATAATAACCAATTACGTTTTGTAGTTTACACATCATAAGCTGGTTTACGGTTGTCTTTTTTTGTACGATTTCATTCAAGCAGATACCAGTTTATATTTAGCAATGCATTGGAAAAGAAACGAGAATTTTGTAATGAAGCATTTAATTTAAAAAATTTTCAGTATTAATTTGATATTGAATAAAAACAACTTATTAATATGGATTGGGTAAAATTATTGGTTTGAAAAATAATAAGAGCGCCCTCTACAATGTCAATAACAAACATGGCGGAACATAAACAAACCACATAGCGAAATTGAAATTTTCTCTCTTATTTCTTGCTTATTGTACTCTATAGTCCGCACCCCTGCTGTCAGGGTCAATTTTGGAGAATAAAACCTCAGACTATACAAGCCTTTTAACGGTAAGCCACAAAGACAAGACACTGTTCATCACTTGTCATTGTGCATTATAAGGACCAATGCATTTTTTACTGTTTTTATAGAATAGACTTTTCCCCAATACCAATTTTTCTTTCCAAACTCATCTTTTCAAACTGATTAACTGGAAAAAAATCTTACACAGTGTAAAAAAGTACTATCATATTGTATAGAAATACTGACATATTGTATAAATATATTATTTAGACATACTTGCAAATTATATACACTTTAGTATATAGTATATAGTGTATAGATGTATTGACTATTGTCTATTGCTGACTGTATGTTGAGTGCCGGATGCCTTTTGGTTATTTTCTATTCACATATACTCTACATCTTTTACTTATGTAAAATGTTGAGTGTGCATTTTCCAAAAACAAATCATAATCACCTTTTTCTTTACCGATTATATTGTCACAATCCAGTTCAGCTGCTTCCTTTCTCAATAAAACCATTGGGACCTGTTCCTTACTGGGTTTACCTACAATGTAAATTAAACCTACACATATCTTCATCACTCATCGAGTTTAATGAATGACTTAAGACCAATCAAATGGATAAGATTTCCATGAAATTCTATTTTCTTTATTGTGTCATGTGAAATCCTGTCCTGACTGATCATGTGACCTAATAATCCAATTTGTAATGCAAACATATTGTGAATGCATAATGAGAGACTGTTTTTTTATAAAAATTCTTAGTCAACATACAGTATTAAGAAAGTTTGGGTTGATTGAAAATTGTTCACACCTTTTAGAAATAATAAACACAAATTTGTGCCAAACAATAGAGTAAAGATGTTAACTTTTGCTGATCTGATCTTTTTTGTTTACATAAACGTAAGTTACTTTCCTTACTAACTTTGTCCAACACACTGGTCCAACCTCAGTGTTTGCTTGAACCCTAAAGGCTCTTAAGAGCATATGTTACTGACTTAGCTAGGTCTATGTACATCTTCAACATTGTAGACTAGAACATAATTCATGACAACATTCTCTTTTTTTGTTGATTTCGTATTGATGATAATTTTTTCTGTTTGGTGTTTCGCCAAATATTTTTTAAGTTTTTGCCCAAAACCCCCAAAAAGGACAAAAATTGTCATTACAGAGCAATAAATTAAATAACGAATTGACTGATGGTTATAGCCAATTTTAATTTAATTGTAGATATTGTCCTGCTGATCATTTTTCCTTTTCAAAGTTTCTATCTATTCATAGTTTTTAACATATTATGCAAAACGTCAAAAATTGGTTAAAATCGTATTAAAAGGGAAATAACACCAATAAGGAGTTGACTGACAATTTCAACCATGTTGACTTATTTCAAGTTCTTATCTTACTGATCATTTTTGCTTTTAAAAGTTTTTATCCATCTAGTATAGCTTTGAAGATATTAGGCAAAAGCACAATAAAATGGTAAAAATTGTCAATAAAGATCATTAACTCCAATAAGGAGTCAACTGCCAAATCCAGCAATGTTGATTTATTTGTAGATCTTGTCTTGCTGATCATTTTTTTTTTTTTTCAATTTCCAGTTTCTCTGTAACTATTCATGTTTACAAGAACATAGGCAATTAGAGGCTCTCAAGAGCCTGTGTCGCTCACCTGACTCTACTTTGGTTTTAGAAATCATGTAAAGATAGATAAAAATCATAACAGATATCCAAATAATGATTGAGGCCGAATTTGGATTAATATTGGTCCCATTATTTAATAAAATATCCTGGTGGCCATCTTGAACAGTAAATCGGCAACAAAGTAGCAACACTTGGTCAGCACCTCATAAGGAACATTCATGCCATGTTTGGTTTCATTCCATTCAGTGGCACTCTAAAAGAAGACATTTGTATGTATTTCCCATAGGGTCCTATGTTAAACTAAGCCTCCCCCCTAGCGGCCATCTTGGATGATGGACCGACTGCAAAGTAACAACACTTGGTCAGCACTTCATTAGGAACATTCAATCCATGTTTGGTTTCATTCCATTCAGTGGTTCTCTAAAAGAAGACATTTGTATGTATTTCCCATAGGGTCCTTTGTTAAACTAAGTCCCCCGCTGGCTGCCATCTTGGATGATGGATCGGCTGCAAAGAAACAACACTTGGTCAACACCTCATAAGGAACATTCATGCCATGTTTGGTTTTATTCCATTCAGTGGTTCTCTAAGAGAAGACATTTGTATGTATTTCCCTTAGGGTCCTATGTTAAACTAAGTCCACCGCTGTCGGCAATCCTGGATGATGGACCGACTGCAAAGTTACAACACTTGGTCAGCACCTTATAAGGAACATTCATGCCATGTTTTGTTTCATTCCATTCAGTGGTTCTCTAAAAGAAGACATTTGTATGTATTTCCCATAGGGTCCTATGTTAAACTAACTCCCCCACTGTCAGCCATCTTGGATGATGGATCGACTGCAAAGTAACAACACTTGGTCAGCACCTCATAAGGAACATTCATGCCATGTTTGATTTCATTCCATTCAGTGGTTCTAAAAGAAGACATTTGTATGTATTTCCCATAGGGTCCTATGTTTAACTAAGTCCCACGCTGGCGGCCATCTTGGATGATGGACCGACTGCAAAGTAACAACACTTGGTCAGCATCTCATAAGGAACATTCATGCCATGTTTGGTTCCATTCCATTTATTGGTTCTCTAAAAGAAGACATTTTTATGTATTTCCCGTAGGGTCCTATGTTAAACTAAGTCCCCCGCTGTCGGCCATCTTAGATGATGGACCGACTGCAAAGTAACAACACTTGGTCAGCATCTCATAAGGAACATTCATGCCATGTTTGGTTCCATTCCATTTATTGGTTCTCTAAAAGTAGACATTTTTATGTATTTCCCATAGAGTCCTATGTTAAACTAAGTCCCTTGCGGGCGGCCATCTTGGATGATGGATCGGCTACAAAGTAACAACACTTGGTCAGAACCTCATAAGGAACATTCATGCCATGTTTGGTTTCATTCCATTCAGTGGTTCTCTAAAAGAAGTCATTTGTATGCATTACCCATAGGGTCCTATGTTAAACTAAGTCCCCCTCTGGTGGCCATCTTGGATGATGGATCGGCTACAAAGTAACAACACTTGGTCAGCACCTCACAAGGAACATTCATGCCATGTTTGGTTTCATTTCATTCAGTGGTTCTCTAGAAGAAGTTCAAAATGTAAAAAGTTAACGACGATGACGGACGACGGACGCCAAGTGATGAGAAAAGCTCACTTGGCCCTTCGGGCCAGGTGTGCTAAAAATGAAGAAAAAAATGATAAAATTCGTCATAGGCAAACAATTCCTACAAGAAGTAGTCTGACAGTTTTGATGTAAACAGACAGTAGCTAGATCTCAACTTTCAAAACATTTCATAGTGGTTTTCAAGATAATAGACTTAACTTGCATTTTACCCCCACGTTCTAATTTTGGCTTTGTCAGCCATGTTCGTTGACGGGCAGTCACCGGACACAATTATTAAACTAAATATCCCTATAATGATTGTGGCCAAGTTTGCTAGAATTTGGCCAGCAATGATCTTAAAAGTTAATGGACGATGGATGCCAAGTGATGGCATAAGATCACACTGGCCTAAAGCTTTGGGCCAGGTGAGCAAAAAAATGAAAAATTTCAATATCTCTGTTCTGAGATTACATTCCACTATTTCTAATCATCTAGCAAGGCTGTTAGTTCATACCTTTCATTCCAAGATCTCGGAGGATTGACTTCAGCTTTTCAATTTTCTCTCGGTTTGTATTTAATCCCCTCAGATGAAATGCTGGGTTTTTACCACATTGGGAACACAGACTTTTCAGTGTTTTCACATATTTATTTTCTTGTTCAGGAGATGTTTTATCAGTTGATTTCTATAATGAACAAGATATCTTTAAAACAAATAACCAAATTAGAATAAACTCTATCTTATAAAAATAAGATCTTATACAAGTTAAACATAAGATGTTTATATACGCATTCTTTGCTCTGGATAAAAAATCCTTAAAAAGATCATTCATCTTACTGTAAATAGAGTTTTAAAAACCCTTTTCTTTAATTTTCTATCAAATAATATGTTTCTGTTACAAAATGTGTGTTATTGACATAACTTCCACATGGGCTGTTCCATTAAAACATACATGGTACCTAGGTAAGGCACTTGAAAATGGGGTAACCTTCAATAGGAGAAATTTTAGAATTTCTCTTACATTTCCATCATACAAAATAGTCTTGAACTTCCATCCATAGTTAATATTTGGTAGTGATCTCATTGGGTCTCATGTATGTTTTTAACAGGTCAAAGCTTTCTATATCTGGTAATCTCTACACTATTAATACAGTGAACCTTTGATATTTTCTTCTTTCCTGTACTTTTGACTGGTTTCCTTTCCTCTTCTGAACTACTCTCACTATCCTCATCAGAGGTCACCTGCAATGTAAAAAAATGTTTCATGCCTTATATACAGGAGTTGCGTGGATAGAAATCGATCTTATGCAAATGAAAATTAATACATCTGTTCACGTATTTCAGGTTGAAAAAATCTCTATGGAAAGTCTGTAAACAAACTCATCATAGATACCAGGATTGAAATTTTGTATTTGCACCAGACGCGTGTTTCGTCTACAAAAGACTCATCAGTGACGCTCGAATCAAAAAAGGTTAAAAAGGCCAAATAAAGTATGAAGTTGAAGAGCATTGTTTGAAAATTGAGCTGTGATGAGAAAATCTACAAAACAGACCAAAATTCATCTTTTATTTTGTATTTGAATGTTCCAAAATTGATCAAAGTTTTATACATGTTCATGTATACATGCACTTGCATAAGGTCGATTTCTATCCGACACAGCTCACATACTAGTATAACGTACAAAAGCAATAAGCTGAGAATATATGGTTGAATTAGTACCAAATTTACACCAAATATTTACCAGGTCATTTTTTTTCCCTCTGTTCTATTTGAAGGGGACCAATATCATTTTGAAGAGGCCTTAATTCTTGTTTTTATCAAATTAGATGCAAAATCGGAAAATTGAACCCCATCGCTAATGGTCAAAATTTTAACGTTTGAAAGGTTAATGACTAATCAAGCAGAAATAATAGCAAGTGTCAGATTGTATATAACTATCTCCGTAAATGAGAAAGCCTTTAAAAATTTCACTAGCTGACACTAACTGTTATTCATGAAAAAGTATATGTGCATCTTTATAAATAGACTCTTCTAAGTTTCTATCTATCTATTATAATTTTCAAAAAAATTGGTAAAATATGTCATTTAAGGGCCCCAACTCTTAATGAAGAGTTGACCAATGATTTCAGAATTATCAACTTATCATATTAGTAGATCTTACCTTCCCAATTATCAATTTCCCATTTCTCAGCAGTAACATACCCTCTGCCCCTTCGTATGGTGTTTACATATCTCAATTGATACGTTATTCTCGTGCTTGTTCACACTATACGGACTTCATATACAGGAGTGTGCTCCTTACGCAGAAACTGCTCCAACAAAGTTATGAGGAGGACAGATTAAAAATGACACTCCGTAAATTTTACGGACACCATCACAAATTGGTTGATCCATACGATGTGTCTTTGTCCAAACTAACTAAGGACATTTTTACCACGTATTATATTGTGGTTTGTCATTACATCGTCTTATCTTTTAATTACCAAACGTGACTTATTCCCGATTGTAACTGTTTTGCTGAGTGTGAAACCGCATTGCTATAAGACCTACTTTTCTATCCCAAATTCATGTTTTTAATTTTAATGTTATATTTGTTATTCTCGACGGATTTTATCAAAGAGGGACGAAAGATACCAGAGGGACAGTCAAACTCATAGATCGAAAACAAACTGACAACGCCATGGCCAAAAATAAAAAGACAAACAGACAAATAATAGTACAGATGACACAACATAGAAAACTAAAGACTAAGCATCACGAACCCCACCAAAAACTGGGGGTGATCTCAGGTGCTCTGGAAGGGTAAGCAGATCCTGCTCCACATGTGGCACCCGTCGTGTTGCTTATGTTATTACAAATCCGGTAAATAGTCTAATTCGGTAAGTCACATTCGTGAAAAGGGAAGGGTATTGTAGTTTTGACATAAGGAACATATCCGATATCATCTGTGAAACGGTTATTCCATAACGGTCAACCAACTCGTGATGGCGTCCGTAAAATTTGCGAAAGGATGATTTCAACTTCACCATTTGGAACTCTTGGCTTAATAGCTTCCTTGTGAGCAGCAATCCTCTATCAAGGAAATCATGATAGGAAACACAAGCCCGGGAATATCGTATCAATTGGGAGATATATACTCCGTATGCAGGCGCTGCTGGAATGTTGCTACATAGAAATGGAAAGTTCACAATTTGGAAGCTGAAATCATCTCTTTTGTCGTAGAGTTTTGTTTTCAACCGACCCTCATTGTCAATTTCTAGATGTAAGTCAAGATATGAGGCAAACTTAACTGTATCTGTAGTATCCTTTATCTCTAGTTCGATGGGATAGATTCGTTCAACATAGTCACCAAATTTTGTATTATTTAGTGAGATAACATCATCTATATAGCGGAACATAGAGTAAAAGGATATTGCTAACTTCTTATCTTTCTTCCTAAGAAGTTCCTGTATGAAGTCAGCCTCATAATAATAAAGAAACAAGTCGGCAAGAAGAGGGGCACAATTGGTTCTCATTGGAATTCTGACAGTCTGTTGAAAAACACGTCCTCCAAACGTAACAAATATGTTGTCAATCAAGAAATCAAGCATCTTGATAATGTCAGTTTCAGAGAATTTTTTGTTTGAATCAGAGTGATTCTTTACAAAGTAGGATTTATCCCTCCACAAGACAAGATACTTGTATCTACTTTCGCCATTCTTTTTAATGAAACAAAGTAATACCAACTCTTTCAATTTGTCTTTTAGTTTGGAATGCGGAATACTTGTGTAAAGTGTAGAAAATTCAAATGTTTGAATACTATTGCAAGATGAGAGAGTCTTAGATATGTACTCTAAAAGATCTTTGGAATTTTTTAGTATCCACATCTGATTCACGCCACCTCTAGAATAGGCAGTTTCACAATAACTTTGGAGCCCGGCTTTGATTGCTGATAAAATAGATGTTAATCATTTAGAAAGAGGTTTCGTGGAGCACTTGGAAGACCCAGCAATATACCTTTGTTTGTAAGGACACTTATGTAGTTTAGGTATCCAATACAGTGATGGAAGATCCAGTTCTTCATCTTTGGTTGAAATTCCAAAGGAACATAGAACAGACCTATGATTATCCAGGATTTCCTCTTTGGTAAGTGTCGTGAGGGTATATGTTGAGTTTCCAAGTGAATTGTCAATACCTTATTCATTTATCAAGCAGTTAATGTTTATCAAACGTCTTAACGTCTTTTCTGTTATATTCGTGTGTTATGGTAAAAATAATTAATCACCCCCTTCATTTATTAGATTTTAGTTTGGTTCAACGAAATTTATACGATTTATTTGGTTTACAGTTTGATTCAGAAGAAACACGACATAGCTAAATAATACAATTAATTATCTAATTACTACCACAATTTGATATTAATAAGTATTGTAATTTTCATTGTTATTAATAAATGTAATGTCAGTATTACAAATCTAATCTTGAATCAATCGTAATCCTATCTTATTTTTGGGAAATATTTTTACAAATTCAAATGTGACGTCACTTTGTGTGTTTTTTTAGAATTTCAAATGTGACATCACTTTGTGCGTTGAGTCTTTGGCTAACTTGGCTGTGTATTTTTAAGTGTTGGATTAAGTTGTTTTATGTAATGTATCCATTTTTATTCTGTAGTTAGTCCCCACTTTGGTTTTATCATGTATATCTATTATATAGTCATTTTATAAAATTTACTGTTTTCAAAATTATAAATTATTCTAAATAATAAGGATGTTCTTGTCCCAGGCAGAAAACCCTGGCCGTGTTAGGCGCAATTTTTTGGAAGTTTTGGTCCTCAGTGCTCTTCAGCTTTGTACTTGTTTTGGCTTTCAAACTTTTTTCATCTGAGTGTCACTGGTTGGTCTTGTGTGGACGGGACGCACGTCTGGCGTATTAAATTTTAAGCCTAGTACCTTTTGTTAGCTATTATTCGTGTGTTTCTTTGTCCTATATGTTCTCCCATTTATTTGTATTGTGGTCCTGTCATGTGATGTTGTCGTTTTGGTGTTGTGTTTGACGTTGCCATAAAAGCGGGAGGTTTGGCATGCCACAAAACCAGGTTCAACCCACCATTTTTTTCTTAAAATGTCCTGTACCAAGTCAGGAAAATGGCCATTGTTATATTATAGTTCGTTTCTGTGTGTGTTACATTTTAATGTTGTGTTTTTGTTGTGTCGTTGTTCTCCTCTTATATTTGATGCGTTTCCCTCAGTTTTAGTTTGTAACCCGGATTTGTTTTTATCTCTATCGATTTATGAGTTTCGAACAGCGGTATACTACTGTTGCCTTTATTTACCTTGCGAATCATTTTTGCTATCTAAAATTCTATCTACCTAATCTAATTTCAAAATAAAAAGGCAAAATGCAAAAAAAAAAAGATAAAAATTGTCATTCAAGGGCAATAACTCCTACAAGAAGTCAACTGAAGATTTCCACAATATTGGCTTATTTGTAGATCTTGTTTTAATGATCATTTTTGCTTTTCAAAGTTTCTATCATCTGTGGATTTATTATTTTTTGTGAGGTACCAATTTTTCTTGGATTTCCATGATTTTTGCAAAAGATAACAGATGATGGCAAGGATGACAACAAAAAACAACCAGTTGAGCTTAAATGTAGTGAGCAATTAATCTGAAACTTCTGTCACATGGTGGGACGAAAATTTCATACATAGCCATTATGCTTAAATATATAAGAATTCGGTTAACAGGAAGTTGATGAGCAACGAATCAAAAACGGCATCACATGGTAAACCATGATGACATTAAGCCTGATAACAAGTTACAGGAAGCTATTGTGGTTCCTGAGAAAAATGCATCAGAAATTTAATAGGATGGACAAATAGACAGGGGTAAAACAGTATGCTCTTTAGAGAAGTGGTATAAAAACATTTATTCTAAACTATAACATAAATATTCACAAAATATAGAAACAAGCAGTTTTCAGTTCTTTGATTTGTTCTAAAATCAAAGACAGTTAATTTTTTTAGCCTTCATCATTATTCTATTTTACTTTTTGTAAATATAAGAAATATAGGAGAATTTTGTCTAATGTAGGAAAATATAGGAAATACGAGAAAATATGAAATGATTGGAGACTGGAAAGGCACTTCAAAATCTCAATAAGGGGTTGGAGTTAAGACTATTTTGTATAGTAAATGCACATAAACTTTTTAAATTGCGACAATTGATGGTTTCCCCATAATTACTAAGTATCTTCCTGGGGTACCATATAGGTTTAACGAACATCACTATTAAACATGTTTATATAAAATACATAAGCTCTCTGTATCATTTAATCTTAACAATATTTAGACATTGAACCTTTGATATTTTCTTCTTTCCTGTACTTTTGACTGGTTTCCTTTCCTCTTCTGAACTACTGTCACTATCCTCATCAGAGGTCATCTGTAATGTAAGAATTGACATGAAAGTTTGATGAGACTTAATCAAGGCCAACTTGAGTTTGTATATATATAATACATATTTTTTATGAACCAAAGTTCCATAATTCTGGAATGATTTCTTTGAAAATAATTCTGTTTCAGTATCTCAAGGCTTACTCAGAATGTTTTTTTATTCTGAAATAGGGAATTTTTCTGTGAAAAAAAATAACAGGGTGTACAAATTTCACGAGTTCTAGTCAATAAAAATTTAATGTACATGAATTGTTTTCCCAAAATTTTGGAAAATAAATTACCGTCTTTTGGTATGTATAGTGCGCACATTTATACCCTGGGTCAAGTTTCTTGTAAGAGGGGTGCACGTTATACATGCCTACAGACATTTTCTTAGTCTTTTTTCAGGTCCAAACTCTGACAAAGAAATTTCCAGGAGAGGTGAAGACTACGGAATATTTTTGCTAAAACCTCGATTTTTTTTATGTTTTACATGTTATATTTGTAATATGTATTTTATTGTTCTTGATTTGTCATGTTTTATTCAAATAAAATACATTTTATATCTCTGTAGTTACGTTTACCGTGTAAATTTGTCCATCTGTTTGCAATCCAGAAATTTGCCATGTCTTTAATAAAGACACAATAAAGTTTTTGTTGTCAGTTAAATTAGCCTCTGTGTTCCTTGTTGTCAAATCTTACTGTTTTTGTATGTGTTCATCATGGAGAGTAGAAGAAAAGTGTATGAAAATTGAATAAACCATGCTGGTTTTGAAAAGATAAATGTATCAGGTGATCAACAGTCATGTGGGTCAGTCATGTGACTTGATATTGTAAAGTGATGATTTAGTCTATGAGAAGTTTATTTTTATAAATACGTTTCTACTTTGTAACTTTTAAACATTTTAAACAACTGTTTAAAACTGTTCAAGAAATTATGATTGAAAACATGATAATCCCATAATTGTAACCTGAACGAATTTAATAAGGAAGTGAACCTGTCACTGATTTGTTTTGACATCGATTAGACCCTTTGATTGAGGTGTGATAATTCGGATTAACAGCTAGAATCAACAAACAAAAAATAAAAATAATGAGATTTTAACAATTTATTACAGCACTAATGATGTTAATGATAATCATTTGAATGATTCGTAATTATGTTATTGTTTCAATCAGAACATTAATTTGGATATTTGATCTTGTCCTTGATACTCAAACACTTTATTAAATTTGGTTTTAAAAAAACAAAAACAAAATTAAATGTAGATTTATCTCAATCTAATAAAATTCTTATTCATTTGTCAGAATATTTGCAATTTCATATTAATTACATATTCCGTACGGAGTTTTCCGACATCAGTGTCCCTGTTTACAGATAGACTTCCTGTTTGCTGATTTTGGAGCTGTAACTTTTCCGAAAATGTCTATGAGTCTTATACCAACAATAAACTTTTTCACACGTTTCTTGGACCATAAAGGAGGTGCGCACTATACACCCCAAAAGAGGGTAAGTTCAGAAACTAAATTAAAAATAAAATAAGAATATGTACATGTGTCTTAAATACACTCTGTCCTGTTCACATTGATGCATTAACTGAGAAATCTGGGTCAACATCCTAATTTGACATATATTTTTAAAAGTTCAAAATTAGAGAACCGCCTCTGTGGTCAAAGACTGAAAAAATGTGTCTAGGTAGGGTGACATGTCTGTCTGCAGACTGTTACAATGTGAACTATTATATTTAAAATCCATTCATCATGTGGGTCTAGTACAAAGCAGTGTTTATATTCATATTACATTAACATATTCTCATCCTGAACAACCCAAATGAATCCTGCCATTCAGCTTTTTAGTAACAAGTAAGTTATAAAAACAGACAGTGAACCTTAGATGATTTGTGCTTCGCTGAACTTTTGACTGGTTTACTTTCCTCTTCTGAACTACTGTCTCTATCCTCATCAGAAGTCACCTTAATTAAGAGATATATTCATATAAGTTTTTGACAATAATATGTGATGCAAAAACATAGATATTCTGTATTCAGTAATATTTCATTTGATAAATACTTGTACTTCATCATAAAAAATATTGTTGTGCTGATTATTAATGTGGGACAAAATACGTTCTCAGTGCTGTTTTATTTGTCATATATTTTTAAAAGTTCAGATCTTAATGAAAGACCATCAATGGTTTAATACTCAGCTGGGTGAAATCAAAGACTGGAAAATTGGTATTAGCTACTTAACCACTCAGCACTTGGCATTTTGGCTGATCAGCTCAGAATCAAACTAATGTGTCCTGGTAGGGTGATATGTCTGACTGTTACAGTGTGACAAACTAATGTGTCCTGGCAGGGTGATATGTCTGACTGTTACAGTGTGTCAAACTAATGTGTCCTGGTAGGGTGATATGTCCGACTGTTACAGTGTGAAAAACTAATGTGTCCTGGTAGGGTAATATGTCTGACTAACTAATGTGTCATGGTATGATGATATGTCTGACTGTTACAGTGTGACAAACTAATGTGTCCTGGTAAGGTGATATGTCTGACTGTTACAGTGTGACAAACTAGTGTGTCCTGGTAGGGTGATGTGTCCGACTGTTACAGTGTGACAAACTAATGTGTCCTGGTAGGGTGATATGTCTGACTGAAACAGTGTGACAAACTAATGTGTCCTGGTAGGGTGATATGTCTGACCGTTACAGTGAGAACTATCACATTTAAAATGCACTGAGCATGTCTTTCAAGTACAAATCAGGGTACATATTCATTTTTAATCAACATCTTATTATCCTGAATATGCATTTTATTTCTCACTGGATGTTAAACAGCTCTCCATTATCTTCAAAATGATCAGAGTTCAGTTCAGTCAGTGCTGCTTTAATTCAGAATGACCCTTTTGACCAGGCCATCTTAAAATTATACTCGATTTTAATGACTTTCTATATCCCTTAACTTTTGAGAAATTAAAGATTAAGATTTTTATTATCAAGTAAGTTATAAAAACAGACAGTGAACCTTTGATGAATTGTGCTTTGCTGTACTTTTGACTGGTTTACTTTCCTCTTCTGAACTACTATCCCTATCCTCATCAGAAGTCACCTGTAATGTAGAAAATCTTTATTGAAATTTGAAATAATGTCATTTGATATTCTGTATTCAGGAAAATTTCATTTGATAGATACTGAATTCATGATACCCATATTGTACATCATCAGTAGTCAGCATCCTATCTATTTGATTTGTGGGTATGTGTCAGTAGTGTCAACGTGGAGTGTTTCCAAGCACTTAGAGCTTACAAAGGGGGGTTGATGGCATGACCCCCCCCCCCCCTCCAGGAATTTTTTAATAATTCAAAGCCATTTCCTTCATTCTCACCGCTGATTGAGTAATGTTTTTCAGATACGGAAAATATGTATTTCATACAATTTATTACGTCCATCTTTCATTTAGACAGAAAAACTGAGAAATTTATTATTAAACAATTGTAATATCTGTAACTCACTAAATACCAAAAAAAACAAATGCAGTTCTGTTTGCCTGCTAATCGCTTTTGGGATTCTGTGTCAAGAGCGATTTGCAAGGCGTTCTTCTTGGTTTTAAACACTTGACAATGTGCTGTCCCCTTTTTTGAAGACGTTAAACATAGCTATAAAGAATGTAACAATTCTTTGTACTTCTGCAAGTACTTGTCCTTTTTTCAGCATCTTCAGTGTAATTTTTCTTTCACATTTCAGACCTACAATTTCTTTCCCATTGTCCATGATAAGAACTTTTTCTCCGTCTGAAGATATTTCTGATACCAGATGTTGAGCTATGGTCAGAAAAGCACTTTAAAAAAGATGTTTTCAATAAAACAAGTGTCCTTTAATTCTGATTGACTAAATTTAAGCCAAATTTCAGAAATAAACACGTTGGTTGAGAGGTAGTAACATAAGATAACTACACAACTTTAAGACTACGATTTAGTTCAGTCAATGTGTAGATTTAGTTCAGGATGCCTGTTTGACCAGGTGAGCGAACAAGTGTTCACTAATTTAACGACATATCAATACGTTATTTTTTGAGAAATTAAATATGCCTCATGAATCCTGCCATTAGATTTTTATTATCAACTAAGTTATAAAAACAGACAGTGAACCTTTGATGATTTGTGCTTTCCTGTACTTTTGACTGGTTTACTTTCCTCTTCTGAACTACTGTCCCTATCCTCACCAGAAGTCACCTGTAATTAGGAGAAATCAAATTTTTTATAAAAGTGTTTAATAATGTCATACAAATGTACAAGGCAAAAACATAGATAATCAGCATTATTTAATTTGATAAATATTTAAATTTGGATAATAACTAAAAACAACTTTTTTTGTTCTAAAAAACATTTTATAATTATCTTGTAGTTAAAAGGTTTGGTTGGTTTGCTTGCTTGGTTTGCTTGCTTGGTTTGTATAAATGTTTGCTCAAGCATTCTAATTAAGATTGACATCTGCAATCAATAGATAGGTGGGGCTTTTAAGCTTGTATACATTATACATATAACTGTTATTGAATATTAAGTATAATGCAGAGTATAATATATACAAACTGAAGCCCCGCCTATCTATTGATTGCAGATGTCAATTTTAATTACAATGCTTGAGCAAACATTTGTAAAAACAAAGCAAGCAAGCCAACCAAACCTTTTAACTACCAGCATTAGGAAAATAGCCCTAAAGAGCTTGCTTCAGATGGCCCAGATTAAAAAGAATTTAAAAAATGCAGCAATTTGGGTTTCAACATTTCAGTTTTTAAAACATTAATATATATATTTTCCAAATAAACTCATCATAGGTCCAAGGAATACGTGTGTCACCTGCTCTAAATAATACTAGCAGAAATAGCCATGTTTTGGTAATGGAATCCCAAAAATCACTCAGACCAAGAGTTTAAGTAGCAGGTGCACAAATCCATGTACAGTAAAAGAATATGTTCAAGTTTTGTGGAATTCTGTCAAACCAGTTGTAAGGTGTTGTGGATAATCAAACTTATTTGAATGTACATGTACAATGTAAGCAGAAATTGCTTACTCCATAGTATGGTCTGGGGAAACTCCAAAAATCACATCCTAGTGTCCTGATATAAAAATAATCTGTGCAAGTTGGTTGATATCTATCAAGTTATTAGACAGACACCAATGGTAATTAAATAAAAGAAAATGTATGTGTCACTACAGCGGGATCCTGAAAGGAGATACAGAATCTTTTCAAAATTATATTTTCAGTCTATAATAACATTTATTTATTAATAGCAGCATTTCTTTATTCTCTGCCTGCTCAGTACTTTTATATTCAAATGCTGTGGATTCATTATTATTTGTTGGGTACCAATTTTTGTGATTTTCACAGGTGAAGGTAAACCAGGAATTCAAATGATCAACAAAGGAGGAATTTCTTATATGCTTGTACATGTACATCATACATGTATGTCAACTTTTGCAAAACCATGAAATCAAGTATCCAATGGAAATGCAATTTTCTTCTATCCACAAAAATTGGTACCCATGAAATTATAAGAATCCACAGTATATATATTTGTATAATTTAAAAAAAAAATATACTCAAAGAAAGAGAAGTATTGCATCCCACTTGATGCATTGGTCATGTTGTTGTAATCTATAATATATATAGCTATAAAGAATGAATCTCAACACAGGAAGTACATCATGCATATCAGTTTATCTTGCATGATGGGCATACCCACAACCATCCACAACAGGCATTTCTGACATAGAATCTTACCTTAACATGCATGCCTACCTTTTTAATGCTTGCTAAAGGTAGTTCCTCATCAGAACCAGAGGTTTCCTCATCAAGAACTGAAGTCTTAGACCGATTCACAGATTTTGTAATGTCAGTGCTTGATTTTCTTCTCTTTGAATCTTTAAAAGAATCCCCTTTTTCATTGTTCATTTTTTCTGCATCACTTGACATGCTGTTAGTTTTCTTTTTAGAAATGTTGATCAACATTTCATCCTCTGAACTTGAAAGTTCTTCATTGCTCATTCTTTCTACATCACATGACATGATGTTAGTTTTCTTTTTAGAGATATTTATCAACATTTCGTCCTCTGAACTTGTATCCTTCACAATCTTCTGTCTTTTCTTTTCTTGTTTGATTTTGACCTTTGACAATTCTTTGTTTTTAGAAACAGACTTCTTTTTATTTTGTTTTTTACTATTGATCAAATTTGGTTTTTCTTTCCTTTTCTCCTCTAAATCATTGTCACTGTCGATATCTTCAGAACTCTCACTGTTCGAAATTAGTTTTCTTTTATTTCCTTTTGTCTTTTTCTGTATTTCATGCTTTTGTTCATGTTTAGACTTAGATTCCTCTACATTTCTTGTCTCATTCAAATCACTCTCTGACTCACTTTCAAAACTTTCCATTACTTTTCTTTTTTTCCTTTCATCTATATCTGTGTCTTTCTCATGTTGTTCTGACTCAGATCCACTATCCATATTAAAACTCTTTCTTTTTCTCGAAGTCTCATTACTTTTTCCTGTCTTTTTAATTTTTATAACACTTTTTTCTTCTTCGGATATTTGTTTTTTATTTATTTTTCTTTTTTCTCTAGTGTCATTATTCTTTCTTTTAAGTATTTCCATCTTCTCTCCTTCCTTGTCAACATCACTGTCATATGTCCTGTCATTTATTATATTTTCAGCTTCATCATCATCAGAGTCACTTTCAATGACATTTCTTCTCTTTCCAAGATTAATTTTCCTTTTTGTCAGGGACTCATCAGCAAATGGTTTCCAGTCCTTTTCATCGTCAGAATTGGTTACCATATGGCTGAACTTTTTCCCTGGGGAAGACTGTAGTTCTGTTTCAGATTTACTACATTCCTCTTCACTTTCTGTATCACTGATTTCTATTTCTTCCTCACTACTTTCATTAACATCCAAATTTAGAACAGCATCAAGCACCTGATTAGCACTTAAACGTTTAGTTCCTCCTGGACTAATAGTCACATTTCCTTTTTCACAGCTTTTACTATCAGCAGAACTTTTGTTACAAAGAGGTTTGTCATCTGGCCTTTTTGGTGTACTTACCAATTCCTTTTTCTTCAAGTTGTCATTAATCATTTTTTGACTTGACTTATTACAAGATACAACTTTTTCTGTGCTTAAATCTGTTTTCATTTGTAGTGTTTTCTTCAGAGGACTATCCTTCTTTACCATTTTTGGTGGAGTCACAAATTTTTGGGGAGATTTCTTTTGAGATTTAAGTACTTTAGATGTATTTACTTCATTTTTGGTGATCTTTGGTGTAATGATTTTACTACATGAAGATGTATTTTGGGCCTCTCTTTCCTTTTCCTTTTCATTTTCTTTGTTGGCCAAAGTAACTGAAGAATTCAGAGAGTTTCCATCTGAGAAAGAGCTACTCTGAAATATATGAAAACTATTTGAAATCCTTGTAACTTGTATTTATAGGAAAAATTAATAATTAAGTAACAAGTTATTGATTTATTTAAATAAACCTGTTTTTATATTCTGATTTCGATTCTTACATGTATGTTAGCCTACAGTAATATGTATAATTTGACTTCATTGTTATAATGTTTTCTGGTCCTAGGCCCTTCTATCTGAAATTCTGTCAGTTAAGTCATTCTTCCTTCCAGTATTAGGTTTAAATTTTTGGTCAACAAACATTCAAAGTAGTTGAACCAAGGCTTCCAAAACGGTCATATTTGCCGGACAAATGAAAATTTATCGGACATTGTCCCACTGGGCCAAACATGAAACGGACATCCTACGTATGTTTGCCATTTCAACGTTCATGTGACTCCGAAAAATCTACCATTTTGACTTGACCTTGTGCCTTAAACAGACACACTTTTCCGGTCATTAAAGTGACAGTACTCTATAAAAAAGCCCTACTATAATCCCCTCTCATTACAATCAAGGTTAATTAAGTGTCTAACAGGTGAGATTTACCTGTGGTCATCTGTGTCAGGTAAACTATTTGTGCCGGACATCGATCGATCTTTTTGGAAGTTATTTTTTTATTTAAATTAAAAACATTCCTGCTCTAAATCTAACTACTTTTTAGCAAAATAGATTGAGACTATCAGAAAAACATATTTAAAACGATAAGATCATAATTTACACGCAACAAGTAAACTATTTTGTACCGGACATCAAGGACGTATATTAGATATATATGTTAGTAATATATATAAATACGTCCTTGCAGACATTGATCAGTCTATTTATTTAAAAGTTATATTTAAATTTTAGCGGATTGCATCTAATCAGTTTAGCCAAAAAGATTTAGATTATCAGAAAAACGTATATGAACAGTCAGAGCTCAGACATAAACAAGTCTAAATCTGCTTTTGACTCATAGATGTCTAAATCTGAAGGTTTCAAGATTTGTCTCCCTTTAATTTAAGACAAATTATGACTTCAATAAGTCAATTAGTGTTAAGCAAAAAATATTTGACCTAAATTAAAGTTTGCAAGTCAATAAGTTACCAAAATTGGCCAACTTCAAGACCCATGCATATTTATAAAAAGGTCATGCATCTACATGAAATTATGACAACATTGAAAGACAATGCTTTGTCTTCTAAGGAAAAATATGCATGAGAGTCTAAAAAATCGGAGATAATGTTTATTTAATTTACAATGCAACCATCTGTAATCACACAAAATGAGGAAAATAATCTATGTTAAGTAAAAATGTTTAATTAGATAATTAAATATAGATAGCTCAGGTCATTGTGAACTCTCACACAGGTTTATGATGTCATAGGTGGTGCACTTTGGCCACTAATTAAAATCAAGTCTTTTCATAAGCATAAATAGACCTAAACAAGTCTGTCATTTTCTGACTTAAATAAGTCTGAAAATGAAAGTACATTTTTATAATAAATACATTTTTTGACTTATGTAAGTCAAAAACAAAAATCGACTTGTTTATGTCTGAGCTCTGACTGATGAACATGATTTGATGAAAAAATAAAAAAGGTTGTAAGTGAAAAAATTGTCAGAACCACGTTGTTTGAACTAGTACATGTGTGCACAGGTGTGAGGTTTAATTATGCATCCGAATTTTCCAAAAATGCTAAAATTATCATTGATACCTTTATCTAATGTTCATTTCAAGTATTTTCCTGAAGAAATTACGTGGAAAGAGCTACATTAACTCAATCGTGCTTTGTAAATGTACACAGATTTTACGTATCCGTCTCTGGTCCATGGTTTACCATTACCAAGTCAACATCCGGTATTAGTAAAATGTGTTTTTTTTAAATCGAAAGCGAAGTTTTTGACAGCGTAATTTTTCACAAATAAAGAGTCTAAGGCAGATATCAGTATGCTGATATTGCACACTTCGAATGATGCACCTTCAATTGAACAGTTTACGTCAGAACATCAAATTTATATCAAAAGTCAAGTTTAAGATCCGTTTTTGTGTCAATCATTGATATGAAGCCCAACTGATTAAACTGTTTGCCTTTTGTTACTAAGTCTTAAGTGACTGAAATCAGTTAGACAAAAAATGTCCGGCTGGCTCAAATATTTTTGGTAGCCCTGAGTTGAACATAAGTTGAGTCCCATCAACTTCAGGTATTTTCCTTACTTTTTTTACTATAAATAGGCATTTTGATCATTTTGGCAAATCACAGAAGGATTGGGTTGTTAACACATGCTTTTATTAACCAATCAGATTATCGTAGTTCTAGCTTATTTAGAATAAATTGCTTCGCCGAGCGCAGCTGGATACGACCACAGAGGTCCAACCCTGAACAGTTGGGGCAAAAATGGACGCAATATTCGCGCTTGATACAGGTCTGAATTTGGATTGTAATTAAATATTTGACACATAAAAGGTTTCTGACACAGAATGACTGTAGTCAAAGAACTTAAGAATTGGTTATATGATTTGAATTTATATTTTATTTTTTGCTTTTGAGCAATACATTTTCCTGTTGCGAATTGGCCCCCCTCCCCCCACAAAAAAAATTTACCCCCCCTTTTTTTTTTTGCTTTTGTGCAATACACTATGCTGTTGCCTATTAACCCCCCCCCCCCCCCCCCACACACACATCTGAAATCTGAAATGAGAAAAAATTGACCCCCACAATTTCTTTTTACCCCCAAAAAAATTCTTTCCCTCAAGATATGGTCATAATCTCAATTCAAATTTCCGATGAAGTTTGCAACCATCATTACCCATTTAAATTTACCATAGTGCTAACTTAATCTGTTTTATAATAGAATTTAAAATATGGTGTCAAATCTTTCATATGGATTTTTTTGTAAAAAAAAAAAAAAGATGCAACATTTGCAGATATTTTTACTGGTCTTCCTTTATAAATATGCATTTCTTTAAACATAATTTAAAAGCAGTGTAAGGGAGGTAATCAAAACGTATTTGGATTACCTCCCTTACATTGCTTTTAAATTGTCTTAATTGTTCATTAATTTATACATAATTTAAAAGCAGTGTAAGGGAGGTCATTCAAATGATGTATTTGAATGACCTCCCTTACACTGCTTTAAATTATGTTTTGTACTAAAGTATTTGTCCATTAACCAGGACACCCTTGTTTTTCCCCCTTTTTTGCCCCTAATTCCTAAACAGTTTGAGCCATAACCCCCCCAAAGCAAATCCTAACCATCCCTTTGTGGTATGGAAACTTGTGGTATAATTTCAGAGAGATCCATACACCGTTCCACAAGTTATTGTCTGGAAACTAGAAAAATGCTTATTTTTGCCCCTAATTCCTTAACTGTTGGTACCATAACCCCCAAAATCAATCCCAACCTTCCTTTTGTGGTATTGAACCTTATGGTAAAATTTCATAGAGATCCATTCACTTAAACTAAAGTTATTGTGCGAAAATTAATGTGTCTTCGGATGAACACGACGATGCCGCCACCAACGTCATACCAATATACGAGGTCGTATAAAAACTATTAAAGAATCAAAGACACTGTTATATAAAATCCAGACCACACAATTTTCTCATATCAGAGTGAGCACTCACAAACATGTTAAACCCCACCACAATCTGTAGGTGCAAGTCTCTTATCCACTGGTATTACACTGATGGTGGTAACTGCAGTTACCACGATCCCAATATGGCGGAGGTAGAAATAGGTGAAATCGTTTTCTGCTTATTTCTCTGTGTATACATGTTGTTTTCAAGAATTACTCAACCGCCAGGTTGATCTGTACGGTTTAGTTGTGGGTGTGTTTTCTTAACCATGTTAATATCATATATGGCCTCGTAACAAAAAACTAGAGGCTCTAAAGAGCCTGTGTCGCTCACCTTGGTCTATGTGCATATTAAACAAAGGACACAAATGGATTCATGACAAAATTGTGTTTTGGTGATGGTGATGTGTTTTGGTGATGGTGATGTGTTTGTAGATCTTACTTTACTGAACATTCTTGCTCCTTACTATTATCTCTATCTATAATGAACTTGGCCCGGTAGATACAGTGGAAAATACTTTGTAAAAATTTACAAAAATTTACGAAATTTATGAAAATTGTAAAAAATTGACTATAAAGGGCAATAACTCCTTAAGGGGTCAATTGACAATTTTGGTCATGTTGCTTTATTTGTAGATCTAACTTTGCTGTACATTATTGCTGTTTACAGTTTATCTCTATCTATAATAATATTCAAGATAATAACCAAAAGCTGCAAAATTTTCTTAAAATTACCAATTCAGGGGCAGCAACCCAACAATGTGTTGCCTGATTGGTCTGAAAATTTCAGGGCAGATAGATCTTGACCTAATGAACAATTTTATCCCCATGTCAGATTTGCTCTAAATGCTTTGGTTTCAGAGATATGAGCCAAAAACTGCATTTTACCCTATGTACTATTTTTTAGCCATGTCGGCCATCTTGGTTCGCGGGCGGGGTCATCGGACACATTTTTTAAACTACATACCCTAATGATGATTGTGGACAAGTTTGGTTAAATTTGTCTTAGTAGTTTCAGAGGAGAAGATTTTTGTAAAAAATTACAAAAATTTGCGAAAAATGGTTAAAAATTGACAATAAAGGGCAATAACTCCTTAAGGGGTCAACTGACAATTTTGGTCAAGTTGACTTATTTGTAGATCTTACTTTGCTGAACATTATTGCTGTTTACAGTTTATCTCTATCTATAATAATATTCAAGATAATAACCAAAAACGGCAAAATTTCCTTAAAATTACCAATTCAGGGGCAGCAACCCAACAACGGGTTGCCTGATCGGTAAGAAATTTCAGGGCAGATAGATCTTGACCTAATGAACAATTTTATACTCATCAGATTTGCTCTAAATGCTTTGGTTTCAGAGATATGAGCCAAAAACTGCATTTTACCCTATGTACTATTTTTTAGCCATGTCGGCCATCTTGGTTCACGGGGGGGGGGGGGGGGGGTCATCGGACACATTTTGTAAACAAGATACCCTAATGATGATTGTGGACAAGTTTGGTTAAATTTGTCTTAGTAGTTTCAGAGGAGAAGATTTTTGTAAAAGATTACAAAAATTTACAAAAATGGTTAAAAATTGACTATAAAGGGCAATAACTCCTTAAGGGGTCAACTGACCATTTTGGTCAAGTTGACTTATTTGTAGATCTTACTTTGCTGAACATTATTGCTGTTTACAGTTTATCTCTATCTATAATAATATTCGAGATGATAACCAAAAACGGCAAAATTTCCTTAAAATTACCAATTCAGGGGCAGCAACCCAACAACAGGTTGTCTAATTCATCTGAAAATTTCCGTGCAGATAGATCTTGACCTAATAAATAATTTTACCCCATGTCAGATTTGCTCTAAATGCTTTGGTTTCAGAGATATAAGCCAAAATCTACATTTTACCCCTATGTTCTATTTTTAGCCTTTCAGGTCAGGTGAGCTAAAAAAGCCATAGAAAATTCAAAGAAGATAATCGTAACTCCAAGAAATTTGTTTGATATGATAATCGTAACTGGACTATCAGATAGTCGTAATTTGGACATGATCATAGCAACTTGTCAGTGATAAACGTAGCTTTTTTTGTTGATTGGGACGTCAACTATATCTAAAACTTGCTTGAAAGTTTTATGTTTCACAGGTTAAAATTTACGGTAAATATTGATTGCTATATTGTATACTTAAAGAAGAAGATATATTCCTTAATATAAATGATTTTTTTATAACAAAAAAAATCAATCAATCTATAACTGTTTTTGCATCCCAGTTCCAAAGCAACTTGGCTGGTGACACTCTCTTGGACTTACAGATCACTTACAGAGATGTCGACCTGGTAGTAGTTATATTTTTTTTAAGATTAACGGTACCAATCCTGTACTGTAACAGATGCTTATTTCCACAACTCATAAAGGTATCGGCCCGGTGGTAGTTATAACATTAACGGTACCAATTGTTCTGCTCCAGATGCGCTTTTGACTATTAATGCTAATCATGAAAAAATGGATGCCTTTTATGACAGCAGATATAAGATTGATTGATTGTTGGTTGCTAAAAGTCCAGTGGCGTATATTTCATGCATGTTCAGGACGAAAACAAATAAACAATAAATATGTCCTATAAAAGGGGCCGTCCGGGATGAAGGTCGGAAAATTTGGACTGCCACTGGAAAATGAGGATATGTTGGGAAAGGACCTTTTATCCCTTACAAAAACCTTTGGACCCCTCCAAGAGTGTTTTATGGTTCTTAACGTGCAGAGAGCGTAGCATACTCTCTACATGAGGCATTGGATTTAATGTCACCATTCTGACCAGACATGGCTGCGTATTTATACATCCCGCAGAGCCAAAATGGATGCCCTACTTATGCAAGGAGGGTTTTGACTGCACGTAGGAAGAAGAAAATGGTGCCCATATTTATATTCCCTACTCACCCCACTCCCCAGTGTTGTTTGGGGCAGATATAAGAAGGTTAATCAAAAGATAGAATAGAGCATATAAAAAGTATTAGAAATCTGGGAATAAAAAAGATACTTCTTCATAAAAAGAAGGAGGAGAGCGCTCACAAGCATGTTTAACCCTGCTAAATTCTGTATGCGCTTGTCCGAATTTAGGAGTCTGTAATTTAGTGGTTGATGTTAGCTTTCTCTATGAGTTTTGCACATTGTTGAAGGCTGTACAATAACCCGTAGTTGCTTACAGCTATGTCTTTCTTTCTCTGGTGGATATTTGTCTCATTGGCAATCATACCACATCTTCTTATTTTTATTTTGAAAGTTAAACAACTATAAGTCTTTGATACATTTCTATGCTTACATTTGTAAACAATCTAAATTCAGACTAATAAAGTGATTAAATCTGTGTTGGAAAGATTGGAAAAGTTGTGTGCATAATAATTGCATACCATATTTCAGTCGTCCATTGAGGTATGGTGGTTAATGTGGTCTATGTGCATATTCAATAATAGAGACTCTGCAACATTGTAGACTAGAATAGATTCATTACAAAAATCTCTTTTTTTTTGTTGATCTTGTATTGCTGATCATTTTTTCTGTCTAGTTTTTCTTTATCTTCTTGGACTTGTTAAAATAAGCAAAAATGAAAAAAATGTAAATAACTTTAAAGGACAATACATGTAACTCCAATAAGTTGTCAATTGCCAATAGGTCATGTTAACTTATTTGTAGATCTTTATTTGCTTGATATTTTTGCTGTTTACAGTATATCTCAATCTATAATGATATTCAAGATAATTAACAAAACAAGAGGCTCTCAAGAGCCTGAATCGCTCACCTATTTCAGAGGAGAAGATTTTTCAATGTTAGCAAACTTGATGAACAAATTGTGTAAAATTGTCTTTAAAGGGCAATAACTCCTTAAGGGGTCAATTGACAATTTTGGTCATATTAACTTTTTTGTAGATCTTACTTTGCTGAACATTATTGCTGCTTACAGTTTATATATATCTATAATAATATTCAAAATAATAACAAAAAACTGCAAAATTTTGTTAAAACTACAAATTCGGTGGCAGCAACCCAACAATGGGTTGTTCGATTCAACTGATAATTTCAGGGCCGATAGATCTTGACCAATTAAACAATTTTACCCCATGTCACATTTGCTCTAAAAGATTTAGTTTTTGAGATATAAGCCAAAAACTGCATTTGACCCTTATGTTCTATTTTTAGCCATGGCGGCCATGTTTGTCGATGGATACAAACTTCGGATACAATTTATAAACAAGATACCCTAAGGAACATTTAGTTAAAGTTTGAAGGTAATTGGCCCAGTAGTTTCAGAGGAGAAGATTTTTAAATGTTAGCAAACTTAATGAACAAATTGTGTAAAATTGTCTTTAAAGGGCAATAACTCCTTAAGGGGTCAATTGACAATTATGGTCATATTAACTTTTTTGTAGATCTTACTTTGCTGAACATTATTGCTGCTTACAGTTTATATATATCTATAATAATATTCAAAATAATAACAAAAAACTGCAAAATTTTGTTAAAACTACAAATTCGGTGGCAGCAACCCAACAATGGGTTGTTCGATTTATCTGAAAATTTTAGAGCTGATAGATCTTGACCAATTGAACAATTTTACCCGTCAGATTCGCTCTTAAAGCTTTAGTTTTTGAGATACAAGCCAAAAACTGCATTTGACCCCTATGTTCTATTTTTAGCCATGGCGGCCATGTTTGTCGATGGATCAAAACTTCGGATACAATTTATAAACTAGATACCCTAAGGAACATTTAGTTAAAGTTTGAAGGTATTTGGCCCAGTAGTTTCAGAGAAGAAGATTTTTGAAATAGTTTACGAAGATGACGATGACAGACGACGAGGGACGCCAAGTGATGGCATAAGCTCACATGGGGCCCTTCAGGCCCCGGTGAGCTAAAAATAAAAAATTTCCTTTCCTCCGCATCCAAAATTTTTTTCACCCAGGGCCTGTATAATGCTGAAAATGCCTTTAAATGTTTTTATGGAACACCCTTCAAAAAAAATTTGGGCAGGGGTTCCCCTGACCCCGACTAACCCACGGGGTCTGGGGGCATTCACCCAATATAAGTATGCTAAAAGAAAAGATATAATAATGGTTTATAGAAAAAGTAACACTGAATAATTCTGAAAATGGAACATATCAAGGAGAAATTATAAGCACCCCCCCCCCCCGAAAAAGTTGTACCCCCTGGAAAAAAAAATCAAGTCATCCCATTCATGCCATTGTAGTCTTACAATAGTTACTGAAGACCCCTTATAATTTTTTAAGTAGATTAAGAGAAGATTTTTGTGAAAGATTAAAAAAATTTACGAAAAAAATAGTGAAAAATTGACTTTAAAGGGCAATAACTCCTTAAAGGGTCAATTGACAATATTGGTCATGTTGACCTGATGAACATATTTTAACCCCATTAGACTTGCTTTGATTTCAGAGATATAAGCCAAAAACTGCATTTTACCTCGAGCTCTATGTTCAATTTTTAGCCATGGCGGCCATCTTGGTAGGTGGGCGGGGTCATCTGATATATTTTTAAAAATAGATACCCTAAGGATGATTTAGGCCAAGTATGGTTTAACTTGGCCCAGTAATTTCAGGAGAAGGTTTTTGTATAGATTACAAAATTTTACAAGAAATTGTGAAAAATTGACTTTAAAGGGCAATAACTCCTTAAGGGGTCAATTATAATATAAATATAATAATAACCAAAAACTGCAAAATGTCCTTAAAATTACCAATTCAGGGGCAGCAACCCAACAACGGGTTGTCTGATTTGTCTGAAAATTTCAGGGCAGATAGATCTCGACCTTGAGTAACTTTAACCCTATATCAGATTTGCTCTAAATGCTTTAGTTTCAGAGATATTAGCCGAAAACTGCATTTCACCCATGTTCTATTTTTAGCCATGGTGGCCATCTTGGTTGGTCATCGGATACATTTTTTAAACTAGATACCCTAAGGATGATTTAGGCTAAGTTTGGTTTAATTTGGGCCAGTGGTTTCAGAGGAGAAGATTTTTGTAAAAGTTAACAACGACGACGAAAAGGACGACGGACGTCAAGTGATGAGAAAAGCTCACTTGACCCTTTGGGTCAGGTGAGCTAAAAATACATGTACTTCACCCGCTTACATACAAAATTGTTGGTAAAATCCCCAATTTGTGTAAATTCTTGTCTGGAGCTCTGCATATAGTATGTCTCTCTATAATTGATGTATCTGAAACCCTCTTTTCGATTGGCGATAAACAAAATCATGCCTTTCATCCGACAGGTCATCCACTAAGATTGTCATGATTATAACCTTCTTCAGTTATTACATGTATTCAAATTATTTTTTTTTGTCCGGGATTGACATGAAATATTTTTCTACTGGAAATAACGATAACAATTAGTTTCTCAATATTCTGTTTTTAAATATCATTGTTTACCTGGCTAAGTTCATCCAAGTATTTGTATACAAGTTTGTTGATGGTCAATTTTTCTGTGCTTTCCAGTTTCCTTCCAACATGCTGACTATAGGCATCTCTCACCTGACGTTTTGTCAACACACTGTTAATACAAATAAATGTTTCATTAGGAAAATTAAATTGTAATCTGGCCTACTCACTTGAATCAATTAGGCAGACAGATATAACCATTATACAAATAATTTTGCTAAATGAGTACAAAAAGTCTCAATGGGCATGAAAACTGTGTGTTTGTGGGTCCAATTTCAAAACTAATAGAACTACAAACGTTTCACTTGCAGAACCATTATGCAACCTCATTCTGAAATACAATTATTGGCAGGCCCAGGGATACATGAAAGAAGCCTGATCATTGTGATAGAAGCAATTCTAGTGTTCTCCTCCAGGCCTTAAAAGCAATATGGCCCTGTACGTTGCAGAGCTTCCAAAACAGTTGTATTGTCTGAATCGAACTTTACCAATCTTATATTTATGACTTGTTGTGCCGATCCTGAAACGGACATTTTACGTGGGTTTGCCATTTTAACATAATTCACAAAAATAATTGAAGTATTTGCGATCTTTTTAACTTGACCTTTTGCCTTAAACAGCCACACATTTGCGGTCATAAAAGTGACATGGTGAATAAGTACTATCACAACAAAGCCTACTTAAATACCCTCTCATTACAATCAATGTTAATTGGTTGTCAGACACTTGGAAATTTTCTGAATAACTTGCCATTAATTTTTCATAAAAAACACATACATGACATATTTAGGAGTTTTATAACAATACTGTTACACTTAAGACTGATTTTAACCAGAGATGCAAATTTAAATGCAAAAGTATGCCAGTAATAAATCAATACATGGAAACTGCCAATAGGGTATCCAGTTGAGTTTAATGTGTCACAGTTTCAAAGCTTTTCCTGCTTTGGTGCTAATGATTTCAAAAAGTGTTATTTCCCTTCTGGTAAGTAGTGCTGGTTCACTGCTTGCAAGGGACATATCAAAACATTTTTCTTTTCAACTTAAAAATAAAATTTTGTTTTGAAAATATGTTCACCTACATGTATATCAAATTTGTCCTAAACATTGCATGAAATAACATGTCACTTGAATATTGACAGGTAAAATAAGCTTTTTACTGTTGTTGCTCTTGCTCAAAAGGAACTAGGATTCTGTTTTTTCAAAAGAATTATGACTTAAGATTGGTCATAACTTGTATCAAAAGATAAGAAGTTACGACCAAACTTATGATTCCTGACCTTTAGAAAAACGAGCCCCATTACTACTTTCTAGAATTTTTTTTTTTTTTTAATCAGAGTTTATATAGTTGTGGTAACAAATTTGGAAAAGAAATTTAGTTAAATAAATTAGGCCTTTCTTTTTTGGTATATGAGGTCTTCAGTTGTTTCTGTAATCCATGGTTCCTGTAACTTGCCTGCAGTTGTAATGGATGGGTGTTAATTAACAAATATAGGATTGCATTGAATTTTTATACACCCGCAAATAATGTGTTTTGTATATGGAATCTTCATACTTAAAGGACACTATATTCGACACCTCAAACAGGGGTAAACAATTCTACCTGTACAGCACGGCAGTCAATTATGCATGTCTCTCTAATTTTGGTTTTCTTTTTATGACCACCTATATGATTTGAAATTTGGTATGCAGCTACAGCATGATTGGTTGTATCAGGTGGGTCACTTGCTGTTATATAATAAGGTGGAGCCTATACCATGTATACTATGAACACATATCTTCTATTTCATTTGTCAATATGAAATTTATTGTGTCTAGTATATTATTATAAAGACAAGTATTTCAGTTTGTCCACTATATTATTGTGTTCATACTTGTAATATTAATAATATGTGTAAAGGTTTCCATATCAACATACTGCAGTTGTCATGGTTGTGTAATGCAGAGATCTGCATAGCTGTTTATTTGTTCATGTTTCATCACTTTGAATTCAAACTGTCGTAATATGGTATTTAAAGTTTTTCTCTCTTGTCCATACTTGAAGATTTGAACCTACATCTAGAGGACACCACCTTAATACTACAGTCCTTTTAAAATGTGAAAAAAATAGTTCTATTAAAGTTTTCATCTCTAATTATTTGTTGTTTACTACTTTTGTCATCTATGATACCTTGTACATGTACATACGCATAACACATGCAAATTTGTGTGGGTGGACATTACAAGATACCATTTATACTGTGGATAAAATATCACTCACATATTGGATAATCCAAATATTAAAATGTTTGTTGGATTCCGCTTTTTGTTCGTTTCCAATAAAATTTAGAAATTTAAAATGCCTTGCATCTTTCAAAATTAAATGAATTAAAAGTGAAAGCTGAGAAAGTGCCTCCCTACACCCCCATACATTCACATCTTGAACAGTCCTTATAGAAAAGTACATTATATAAGATAAGTACCACTTACAATGTAGCTAGAACTCCCAGTTTTTACAGTGCTTGAATTTACTGGTTAGTGACGCATAAGCGCAAACCATGCAATGTGTTACAAAGCTGGCTAGCACACTGAGTTGGGTTTCTGAAGGTTAGAAGGTATACATGTGCTACATATAAAAGTGTATAAGAATAATAACAAATAGCAAGAGAATTAAATACATTGGTCATGTTGGTAGTCAAAATTAGTAGATGCAAGTCAGTGCCCAAAAATAATTATATTGTGACATCATAATTAAAGTGCCCATGTTTCAATATTCTCATAGTTTTCATTGTTGATTGGAAGAAAATTATCAAAAACAGTCTTAAATTTACAAGGCACAATTAAAGAAACATTATCATGATTATCAAGAACAAATTTACTTTTCAGAGCATTTTAAACAGATTTTGTAATAAAACAAAAATTGCTTTCCTTTCTTATGGTCTCCTGTCACGTATAAAAAAAACTTAATTTAACTTTGAAAATAGTTTGTAAATATAAACATAAGGTAGGTAACACAAGTTATCACGGTAATGGTCTTCAATTATGTCTTTGAAATAAATTGTACAAAATAAAAAAAAATAAAGTGTGGTTTCCTGTCACGAAAACAGTAAATAAAAAATGGATTCATTTTTTCTGGAAAACCCACTCGGTTTCCTATTATTAATATTACTAGAACACACCCGCTAAATCGCGGGCATTTAGAGCGTGATTGAATGTGTGTAAACTGTTGTAGGATGAATTTTTGTAAACGATTTTATGACTGGAGAATTTCAGGAACGGTATCAAAAGTCATAGGTACTTGGTGACAGGACAATTTTTTTTAGCCCTCCCCCTTTTTTTCCAAAGTCCGTTATTTTTTGTTTTCTGATTTTCTGTATACTATGAACATACATTTACTATAAATAAAGTGTACTTGCTATTTACTATCAATTCCAAGTTTACTATCCACGCCGGTCACTGATATATTATATTTGAATTGATATTAAATAGCAAATACACTTATTTATAGTATATGTATGATCATAGTATACAGAAAAACACGAAAATAATTGTCCTGTTCCCAAGTACTTATGAAAATTATGTGTAATTGTAAAACAGTCCTAAATTAACCTTAAGGTGGCACGGTAGTATTTGCATTCCGGAATTTAGGTTGCTCTTGAAACTAGAGGCTCTCAAGAGCCTGTGTCACTCACCTGTATTTACTGATGCTTTGGAAATCATGTTAAATAAGGTTAAAATCATAATTAATAGTATTAGATATTAGATATTATAATGATATCTAAGATAATAACAAAAAACTGCAAAATTTTTGTAAAATTACTAACTCAGGGGCAGCAATCCAACAACGGGTTGTCGGATTCGTCTGAAAATTTCAGGGCAGATAAATCTGAATCTGATGAACATTTTTTTCAGATTTGCTCTAAATGCTTTAGTTTCAGAGATATAAACCAAAAACTGCATTTTACCCCGATGTTCTATTTTTAACCAAGTCGGCCATTATGGTTGGAAGGCAGGGTCATTGGACAAATTTTTTAAATTAGATACCCTTATAATGATTATGGCCAAGTATGGTTAAATTTGTCTCAGTAGTTTCAGAGAAGAAGATTTTTGTAAAAGATTACAAAAATTTACAAAAAATTGTAAAAAAATGACTATTAAGGGCAATAACTCCTAAAGGGGTCGACTGACAATTTAGGTCATGACAACTTATTTGTAGATCTTACTTTGCTGAACATTATTGCTGTTTACAGTTTATCTCTATCTATAATAATATTCAAGATAATAACCAAAAACTGCAAAATTTCCTTAAAATTACCAATTCAGGGGCAGCAACCCAACAACAGGTTGTCAGATTTGTCTGAAAATTACAGGGCAGATAGATCTTGACCTGATAATCAGTTTTACCCATGTCAGATTTACTCTAAATGCTTTGGTTTCAGAGATATAGGCCAAAATCTACATTTTACCCCTATGTTCTATTTTTAGCCATGGCGGCCATCTTGGTAGGTTGGCGGGGTCATCGGACACATTTTTTAAACTAGATACTTGAATGATGATTGTGGCCAAGTTTGGGTGCATTTGGCCCAGTAGTTTCAGAGGAGAAGATTTTTGTAAAAGTTTACGGACGACGGACGACGGACGCAAAGTGATGAGAAAAGCTCACTTGACCTTTCAGGTCAGGTGAGCTAAAAATACAGTATCAACTTAACATACTTTCCCAAACTGAGGGATGAATCAGGTGTAGAAAAATATGAAACAATTTTACTAATGGCCTTAGGTTTTTAAAGATAGCAAAAAAAGTAAACGGTCATGATACATATTTAAATTCATTTTTGAATATTATAACGAAAGTACTTCAGTTAACTGTGTATGTAGAATTTTGAGCAGTGTTAGAAAGTGGTGAAAATTCTAAAAAGGCTGTCATTATCCCTATGGGTATGTAAATACTTAAGGAAATCTTGTCTATGACTTAAAAGTCTGTCTGATGACGGAAACAATATCCGGACGCCTTTATTTTCGTTTTCCTCCCAAAATAACACTAACTGAATAATCATAAGGCCAAAAAAAAATATATGTCTGTTTAAGGTTACCCGACCGTCCCTATTTTGTGGTGCCGACCCTATGTCATTTTATT